GTAACCTAAGTAATCTTTTTTCACTGCTAGGCTTTGTACGTCCAGCTACTTTAAGGAAGTGATGTGACTATTAATTAGGAATGTAGATAAATAATTTATCAATTTTAACGATTAAACAGGATTTCCTACGCACAACCAACCTAGGTTCTCAATTGCAGGAACGATTATTAAACAAATAATCCGCTGCACACTGAAAATGACTTTACTGTGGAAGTAATTGTTGTTTCATAGTTTATTTAGTGTTGAATACAATACACAAACATAACTGTGATCTCACAGCTGTGTTCTCATAAGTTCATTAAGATATGATATGATAAATATACATTTGGAAAGGCTTACATTTAGATATATCCCAACTTATCAAATGACTCTTTTTGTGACTCTTGTATTGTTACAATTATATAAAAAATCATCTTGAAGCTTGAGTACGGATACACTTATTTCATGGGCACTTAGAAAATGAAGACTGGTGAAAAACAGTCCAGATAAAATCAAACATCTTGATGTGGGAACAAGATCTGAAACATGAGTTGTTTCTTGGCTACATGTTGCCCCCTCAACACTCGCAAACAAAAATCTCCAGGGCTGCCAGAAATGCTAACCGGACCTGTAGGGTTTTATCTATGTATTCTGTGTGTGTGTGTGTGTGTGTGTGTGTGTGTAAGAGCACCTGTGTTTTTGTGTGTCCAGCCTTTGCTCTGCACAGCACTTTCCCTCCTGTTGGATCAGGGTCTAATGGAGATCCCCAGGCAGTGAGGACAACTCACACACCAACTTTGAGCCATCCCCTTGATGGAGGAGATGTTTCTCTCTCAGTCACTTCTCTCTCTCTCTCTCTCTCTCTCTCTCTCGCTCGCCCACCCTCTCTCCCTCTCCTGAGAGTAATTTCACAGGCAGCTCTAAAGTGGCCCCCAGCCATCTTCCCAAATCCCAGTTACACGTTGTTTGGCGCTGTCAGCTCTAAGCCCCATCTCCTCTCTCCCAAGAAGCATAGAGGATGCAATTGTGCAGTAACAGGGAGTATAGATTTTCTTTGGGAAGTTGAAAAGTTTTCTTTAATGGCACCTCACTTGAAGGGGTCGTATCCCCTCTTGTTAGAAGCTAGGGTTCCTTCTAGTCAAGGTCTTTCTGCTTTGTCATTTAGCCTCAATCAGGTGCTCTAGGCCTGCGTACATCATATTACATCGTTATTGATATTTAGGTATTTTTTCTTAAAATTTGGTACAATTACATGGTACAAATAGCTGTCTTCAGTGGCACTCGCTATATGGGCTGAGCTGACCCTCATCTCCTGTGGATAAAACAGTTACTACACAGATTTCCCTGCCATCTTGACTGGCCGCATCACTACCTCATGACATGTATGTGTGAATGTATAATTATCCAATTGTGATATTATCATAGTGGGCCAAGCAGTGTGTATTGATTGGTATTGGATCATGCGTTACTGTATTTTGAGATATCCTGCCATTCCCAACCCTACTTACTTTAATACTAATACCTTTAATTTTTTATCGCACTTTTATTGACAAGGTTACAAGATTAAAAAGCTTAACATAAAAGAGAAAGCCAACTAAACAATACTCACTGACATGTATAATTGTAAGCCCACAAACAGAGAATTTGAAACTGGGGTGTATTTGCTGAGCAATCATTTTGAACAATACAAATCAATATATAAGTCAACTAAACAATGGATGTTTCCCTTATGGAAATATATTGACTGTGAAGAGCTTAAGACTAATAACTTGTAGGATTTAAACTGAAGCTGCTTCTTAAACAGAAATGACATTTTTACGATTTATAGATCTATATAAATATATAAATATCTGTATAAAAAGGAAATGTAAGCCCCCATGGATACCCTGCTCATTTGTAGGTCCATATTTCAGATTATCAGATCCCTTAAAACCCATTTGGATGTACAGCCACATAATTTCCCCAGCCCATCAGTTAACTTATCCGTCTCAATCCTGATGAGGTTCAAGCACTGTAATCTGAATTTAAAGGCTCAAAGGTCAAACTATAAGAAGAGCTGACACCACCCTTTGTCTTCAGTTCATCTCTAATCCTTGTGGTTTAAAAAAATGCCGTCCACTTCCCCATCTGAGGTAACCTGCAGAGCGACAGTATTGTTTAGTGCGATCCTCAGGAGGAGCTTCTGTATTCTTCTGGACGAATCATTATGCATTGAGTAGGCCATTAGGAAAATGAAGACGAATGGTTCGCAGGGCTGAGGTGACAAATAGTTTGTGCTGTAGAGGTAAAATGTAGACGGTGTTGTAATTCTCAGATGTAAAGTTTGCTCGGTTTAATAATGTAGGCTAAAGGTTGTAGATAGTAGTTTGTGGCACGTATTTTCCCAGAATTACCAAAACACATTTACACTATTAATCTCTCCGTCTTTTTCATCATCTTCTTCTTTCGCTAATTCGGTTGAATTTGACGTAAACTTCTAGTATACGCACACACCATGCAGCTTGAAGAAGAAAACCGCCAACAACCCTCAAAGTCCAGTTCGTTTGGCTACCTTGATCGTTTCTTCAGCCGGTACAGGGAAACTAGGCCCTTGTGAATGCACCCTAACACAGCGAGAGGGGGGGGGGAGGACTAGTTAAGTAATTTTGTTTTCTAGCGGAAAAAAGGAGAAGCCAACTTGCTTTACATAGAAATATTTGTCCCCAGAATAGATGTTGAACAAAACGTTGTACTTTTCGTGGTTGCTTGGTTTTTGTTGTTTTTTTTGAGGGTGAAAAGCCTGTTTGAAACAAGATGACAGGTGAAACACAAGAAGTCTGCATTAGCTCAGAATAACAGAGCTCACACATATCGTGGATTGTCAGGAGAGGAAAGATGCCTGAAAGATGTTCAAGGTGTCACTGGGTAATACCGACCAAATCTAAAGAAAGGGATGTTATGTTTAAACATCCACTGACGGCTCATCAGAAAACTGTGTTTCTGTTCTTAATCAAATAATAGTTTCCATGCTTTCCTTTAAAATCTCAATGATTAAAGTGCAAAAAATGTTATGTATTTAATTTAGGCACAGTGCCTATTAATGAATATAACCATGTTACTATGCCAAATTACAGCCATAGACTCATTTCCATCTGTGGTCTCTTGACAAGTTGGTGGTATAATTATATCATGATTTATGTCCAAAAAGATTAATCCAGTTAGTTAAGCCAAGGTTAAGATCTTCCACTTACTTTATACCAGTGGTTCTCAAACTGTTTAGACTGTGTACCACCTCCGAAAATATTTGGCTCTCCAAGTACCACCATTATGGTAGACGTTAAAATACACTGTAGGCCTATTTCAACACACATTTCATGCAAGAGGCAAATTAATTCATAAAAAGAATATTATTTATTATTGACTGTTGGCAGCCACACTGTAGGACTACTAAGGGCCAGCGCTAGAACTGGCAACACTGACATTCGCCCAAATCAAAAAAAGTGCAGCACAATAAAAATGACAACTTTATACCAACAACCTGTTTGAGAATATTTAGTCTCCAGTGTTTCCCACACAAAGACGACACCTGGGCCCAAGTATATTTCCGACCTGTTCTCATTTAATTTTTCATTTATTCATAACATTGCTGTGTGAGCGCGCGCGCGAGAGAGAGAGCAGGCTCCGTGCATCCAGAGCCTCTGTATTATAAGTCTCTGCGTTCAACATAGCAAAACACCCTTTGAAAAAAAATCCTTCTGGACTCCTGTGCATAGTTAAGACACAGCAAAATAGTGCAGAATCACATCAGCTTCAGAGCAAGAGAGAGAGAGAGAGGGTGAGCGACTGTCCTTACACTCTTGTAAATGCATCACAACGGAAGCATCGCCTGGCTCCGTTTTAAAAATGTTAATGTACAGCTGCTTGCCACCGTTTCTGTGCTGATCTCCAATAAATAACAGAATATCTGTTAATGTAGTCCTACAGCTGCTTTCTCTTGATTCAGTACTGAACTCCTATAAATAAAGGAATATTGACCTGGTGTTTATGTCTGTGCTCACACAAGCATAAAATTGAGAAGATTAAAGTTGTTTGTTGCAAAAACTAGATTAATTTAGAGGGGGAAACACATTTGATATAAATACAACCCAATAGATACAAGCCAGATAAGACAAAAAAAAAATGGCGTTTTATGCTGAATGTTTTTTTTTTTTTTTTTTTTAATATTGTGGAGATTTCTTTGCGTACCACAACAGGGAGCCTGCGTACCACCGGTGGTACGCGTGCCATAGTTTGAGAACCACTGCTTCATACTATTGTCGTGTAGAAACTGTTCATTTCTTATTTTATTTAATTGAACCTTTATTTAACCAGGAGAGAAACTTGATGAGATTAAAAACTATTTTTCAAGAGTGTCCTGGTCAAGACAGGCAGCAGCACAATATACAGAGCCACATAACACACAAATACATGCAGCTTTAAACCACACAACTGCTTCAGACATTGGATTTGAATATTCACAATTAGTTGAATTATTATAAGTAACTACCATGAAATGTTTTGAATAAACATGAAAAATAGAATCACAAATATAAGATAATTATTAGAATTTACTCCTCTTTTGTTGATCTGTCAGCACATTTGATTTAACATTGTTGAAGGTGGTTGGACAAAAAGACATCATCAGACACTATTGTCTAACACTTGGATGTGTTACTACTGAGGGGCTTTTAAATAGTGGTGGCTGTTAAGGAGATGACAGTTCAAGGACACACAGCTGGATGTGCGTAGCGACATTTTGTGTTAAGAAGAGGATGATAAATGTCAGATGTATGTCTTGTTTTAAGTCGATCCTTTAACACCTATTGTCACATCAGCATCCTATTTTGGGCTCTTTTCACTCACCTAAAATCTGCCTGCTTAATCTCTGTGTTGATTGATGGTCACTTAAAACCCCTCTGTCCACTATTGTGTCTATTTCTGTGTAGATTCTCTAAATGCGGCATGGCATCCTGACTCCTCTTGTTTTGTTTTTTTTGATCTAGGAGAACAGCAGTGATTCTCAGAGCGAGACAGAGAAGACAGTCACTCTTGCTCCTTCTGAACTGGATACGGAGTCCATCACCAAGACCTTGACCAGCACCCTCACCATGCAGGAGTACTTTGCTCAGAGAATGGCTCAGCTGAAAAAGGCTCGAGGACAGGCCCAGAATACAGAACCTTTAGAAACTGAAGAGGCTAACGAAACGTCAAGTCCTTCTGATGAACCAGATCCCATCCTGGCCAGCAATGATGACTCAGAAGAGCCCAAGAAGAAGAAGAAGAAGAAGAAGAAGAAGAAGAGCAAAAAGTCATCGGATGAGTTGGAGGTGGAGGTAGAAAACGTTTTGACTCCCATCGTTATAGAAGACGATGAGGACCAGGAGCATCCAGTGAAAAGGAAGAAGAGCAAAAAGTCATCGGATGAGTTGGAGGTGGAGGTAGAAAACGTTTTGTCTCCCATCGTTATAGAAGACGATGAGGACCAAGAGCAGGAGCATCCAGTGAAAAGGAAGAAGAGGAAATTGGTAGAAAGCGAAGAAGCTAAAAATGAGACCTGTAGTGCCCCATCTCTTGTAGAACAGAACTGTGAGGAGCTGCCTCTGGCCAAGAAGAAGAAAAAGCATCAAAAACACAGTAAAGATAGTGAGCTAACAAACGGACACGCACAAACTGAGGATGAACCTGTAGAGTCTGTCACTGTTCACAAAAAGAAGAAGAAACACAGAGAGGACGTGGACAGTGTAGTAATAGAAAACAACGAGGAGCTTGTAGAGAAGAAATCCAAAAAGGACAAGAAAAAGAAAAAGAAACATCAAGAATAGGAGGATAATAATAAGTCGGCAGTTTCACCAGTCCTTCAGGCTTCAGACAAATAACTCATCTTCATGGAGTTATTGGCTTTAATATCAAAATAAAAGGTCTCATGTATATAATAGTTAATTCATATGCTACAGTGAGGAGAAAAGGGAGGTCAGACATTTGATTACATAAAAACTTGAATCTATCCTGTGAAGTTGTTGTTTTGGTAGTACGGCGAGAAAGGTAATATTCAAAATGTATTCTTCATGTTAACATGGTGAACAAAGGTTTTGATGATAAGTCCTTGATTGGTTGATTTGGTCATGGGGAGTGAATGGTTACAGTAAAATAGATTCTTTGATTTATGTTCAGTACAACCACAAGTAATTGTGTCCTCTTGGATGCAACACTGTTGCACTGTATTATAAAATACCTGGACCTAAAGAGTTTGACATTTCCTGTATTACTCAGAGTTATATGAGAAGATCAATCCTACTCAGATGTCTGAACCGTTAATATGAAGTTCAGACATAGTACATAACTTTCCACTGGAAAGAAAAAAAATCATTTTAATAACTGTTTAATGTTCAGATAAAAAACAAAACCTAATGTAATAATCAGAGCTAAGTCTGAAGTCTTCCAGTATCCAGGTTACATGCTAAGCTAAATGTACCAGCTGCTGGTTGCTGGCTTCAAACTCTGCATACATACGAGAGGTTTTGATCGAACATTCAACTCAACGCCAGACTCCATGTACTTTCAACCTGTTAGATACTTTACTTTCCCTCGTTGTGACTCCAAAGTGTCTAAATGTATAAATGTATTAAAGATGTCATCAAAAGATGACATTTATCTTTAAATGATCCTGTTTATCCATCAAGTTTTCAGCTGGCTGAATGAGAGCCGGCATGTGTCTGTCATATAACTTCATTGCTTAATTGGCACAAATTGCTAAATTCTTAAATACTAAAAAACAATCAAGTAAATCTTTTTTATGTATTGCAGTTTCTTTCCAAACATGTTTCCCATCACAATCATGCATCAGCATTCTGTTTATTTAAACCAGATATTTTACTTTTATTAATGCATCAAAGTAACTCCATGTCAATTTTGATTGGCTGAAAAAAGACGCTCAGAAAATGTGTCTTCTCTTCCATGATGTGTGTCTCGACAAAACTGAACAGAAGCAATTTGATGGTTGGCATATAATCTGAAATAAGATGACATCTGTATGAGCTGTAGGATAACAAATGTTGACAATTTAACGGATGCAAAAACATTTTTTAAATAAATCAGATAGTGTTGCAGGAATGTTTTGTTTGTTGTGTTTTTTCTTCATACGTCAGGTGACATGTTTGAAGAGATATTTGAAGGGTTGAGAACAGTGATCCCTTTATGAGATCTCATCAACTAAAAATGACAACAGTCACCCTTTCCATTACCAAATGTTGTTCACGACGTTACAGGATTTTTTTCTCTGACACGAGAGATGAACTTCTAACAAGCCGGTCTAGTTCAGCGAAGACGGTTTGTGTAGTGAGTCAAAGGAGGAAAAGGGAAACTACAGCTGTACAGTGTCACACGTCAAAGCATTGCAACCTTCCTCATCACTATTCTGGGTTTGTAAATTACAAAGATGTTCCTTCTGTTGAGACAGCCAGACTGACAGTAAGCACATCCAAGGTGCAGCTGTTGTCTTTTCTCTCTGTTCATTTACTTGCTCACATCACATCAGTATTAAGTTTTTATCCAGTTTTATTACAAGTCCCCTGATTTAATTTAGGAGATCAATTATAATTGCATGTTAATTAAGAGTGTAAAAAAAATACAAGTAGGCTACATGTTTTAGAAACTGGGTCCTTTTCTGCAATGGTTTAAGGTTACATGAAGAAGCAACATTTTATAGAGACTTGTTTAAATGAATGACCCCCCCCATCAAAAGTCACATAATGTCAAAGTATGAAAAAAACTAAATATTCTGCCATTATCAGTTACTGACATTTAAACATAATGATGCTGCTCACAATGACTTAGACAAGGATACAATAAACTGTATGATGATGAGAAATAATAATAAAATTGAAAACTTTAGGTTTGGCTCGGCCCCCTAATGATCAACAATGGAATTTGTACTTGGAACTGTTACTGATGTGTAAATTATGAAGAAGAAAAAAAAGAAGTTATGTCACCATGGTGAAATCTGTTTCAGTCCAAGTCTCCAGCAGCCACATGTCTTTGACTCTGAAAGGGTGAGCGACAGCAGGCTGATACTGCTCCCACCCACACAGTGGATTACACACACAGAGCCATTACTCATTTCATGAACCCCAGACTAACACTGGTTTAATTCCATCGACTATGATGTGAAACTCGTGTCTCACACTTTGCCAGTCTGCTGTCTTACTATACACCCTCTCTCTCTACCCCCGTGTGTGTCTGACTTTCGCTGACTTCACATCAGCTCGGCTCAAATCACAACAGCAGAGTGTACTCACTCGGCCCAATATATCACTGACGTGTCTGCTCCGTGCACAATCTGTGGCTTCAGGTGCTGTATCCTGTTCCTGTTAGGGGGTGAGGGGGGGTTAGTTACACATAAAGCTAGAGCTGACATGTCAGTTTGATGCTTAGGAAGAACTAATTCCACTTTTTATCCATCCAGCAAGAAAAAAAGTTTAAACCACAAAACATGAATTTTACAAAGATGAAATCTGACATTTGATCAGTAGCTGTTGAGCAGTGTGTGTGTGTGTGTGTGTGTGTGTGTGTGTGTGTGTGTGTGTGTGTGTTTCCTTGTGGTTGAGTATGAGCCACTTCATGGCTGCAGCCCAAGAGTATCCTGTCAACAGGAACTCCTGGATTTGATATGCACCCTGCTCCTGACCACAGAAGGAAACTGATTTGTTTGTAGTGAGTGTCGCTGGTTTTATCACTGCCCTCACCCACAGATGTGTTGACAGTCTTAGAAAACTAATCTGCAACCAACAGAAGAGAAGCTTTACCCTCTCCTGGGGAACAAAAGTGTAATGTTTGCATTTAAATGTATAACGGGGACTATATGTGGCAAATATGTGTAAAGCTATGCATGTTTGTTGATTGAAATAGAGGAAATGGGTTCTTCTAAAAATGTGACCTTTGTGTTTTTGTTACAAAGATTTTGACACCTGATTCTTGTATGCTGAGAAGGTCAGAAAAAAAACTGAAAACACTTAACCACTGCAGTTGCCTGCATGATGTCTGAGTTTACTGTAGAACAGGTTGGATAAGTTTGCCTGGTGATGGTTTCCTTGTTCACAAGGAAAAAACTGAAGTTGCCAAATGCCTGTTTGAGATTACAACAAAGTTAAGGTTAAATATAAAGTATATTCAAAATTTAAAAAACTGCTTTTGTCTCATGTGAATTAAAGCCTTTCAAATCTGAAAAGTAACCATGAGCTGCACATTTGCTTCATGTTGAGCAAAGCTTAACAGAAAAGACATTATGTTTCAGTGGAAAGTTGTTTTGTTGTGAGGTCGTTTTAAGTTGTTAGTAGTGTTGAAATGCTGTTCTCTCTCTCTCTTTTTCACGGGGCTCAACATGCAATCAAGGAGGAGCCGAGAGTCCTCCGGGGCTTCTCCTGGAACCTGCTCCTCAAATATAAAGCGCTCCCCCCATCCAGCAGGAAACACTGAATCATAAGTCACAGGCAGGAGCCGCTGCATGCGCACATCTGTCCTGTCTCTTAAACCTGAAGGGACACCTGACTGCTGTACTGATCTGCCCGAGTGAAACACCACTGGATTTCTATAGTTTCTATAGTTTGTTTTTTTCCCCACTGCTTTTAAAATTCGACAAAACAACTTTGTCAAAGAGAGAGCGAGAAGCGCTTCTGAAGTTTGGACAGGAGAGTGCGCGCACATGGCAGCCCTCATTAGCGCGTACTCGTCGTGGCCCGAGTCCTTCGAGTGCACACCAGGAGACGGGGACGTGTCTGACGGACATGGCCCTCACAGGAGCCCCGCGGACAAGGCTCCGGAGCCGCGGATCAGACGGCCCATGAACGCGTTCATGGTGTGGGCCAAAGATGAGCGCAAACGGCTGGCGGTGCAAAACCCAGATCTGCACAACGCCGAGCTCAGCAAGATGTTAGGTGAGAAAAAACAAGTTTTTTTCAAAGTTTTAAAATGTGTGGAAATAAATACGTATTTTGAATTCTATTATCGTTATAATTAAAGCGAGCATACATTTCTCTTTTTTACATTCCAAATACTCTGAATTCCCTCAGGCCTAAATTGTTCTGAAGTTTTTTTTTTTAAAGTTGACTCGGAACTTTTCTTATAATATAAACATCATAAGAACAGTTATAATGTTTAAAGAAAACATGACAAAAAAAGGCGTTAATTGAACTTTGCTTTAAGTTTAGCGAGATGAAATAATCACGCAACCGTACAGCTCATAGTATGCAGTACAAAGCGATTATCGCCTGAATTTAAAGGGCAGTGCATTCTTTCACAGGCCTCATATTCGTTCAGACGACCTGCGCAGAAAAGAATGTTTAATTCTAGAGATAATTTAGGATGTTTGGATTAGTGTTTAGCCTATCTTTAAAACCCAAAATCTGGCAGGGCGCAAATCGTTTTAATGCCAATTCGAGACTAGAATTTGTGTCCAATGCTTTCTAAAATGAGGGAAAGTGTCCCCTTTGTCTCTCTTATAATGTGCCGTTCAATACTTTAAGATACACCTCTTTAAACAACTTAGAACAAGAGAGGAAGTTGAGTGAAGAGTTATAATTTAGGGGAGGGGAAATTTCTCACAATTTTTGCCTATACAGAAAAAAACGATCTGATTTGTAGATTGAGTTTAAAGTTGTTTGGACACTTTATCCAATTTTGTTTAAAATTTAACATCTCAATTAAATTTATTATTGTTATAAATTGTAACATTTAAAAAGATATTTGAAGTATTAATGGTTATTTTAAAAGTTGAAGAAATGATAAAGTGTGAGAGAACATCATCAGCCTCTTTAATGTTGTTAATTTTTCACTTACTTTTCAGTTCACAACTTTAAATTTCAAAAAGATGCAATTTAAATATGATGTGTTTTTTTGTGATAATAAAAAAAATCTCCTTTTTTTTTTTTTTTGCAGGAAAGTCATGGAAGGCCCTGACCCCGCCTCAGAAGAGGCCCTATGTGGAGGAAGCAGAACGGCTCCGGGTGCAGCACATGCAGGACTACCCTAACTACAAGTATCGTCCCCGCCGGAAGAAACAGCTGAAACGCATCTGCAAGCGTGTAGACCCCGGCTTCCTGCTGAGCGGCCTGGCCCCTGATCAGAACGCCTTGCCTGAGCAGAGAGCCCTTTGCCACCCCCTCGACAAAGATGAGGGCAGCCCTAACCCTGTCAGTGGCAGGTTCTCCAGTCCCAGCCCGGCTCTGCCCAGCGTTAGGAGCTTCAGGGACCCGGCTGGATCAAACAGCAGCTTCGACACCTACCCTTATGGCCTGCCCACCCCTCCTGAGATGTCCCCCTTAGACGCCATGGACCACGAGCATGTCCCCCCCTCTTATTATTCTGGTAGCTCCTCTGTCTCCTGCTCCTCCTCAGCTACCTGTCCAGATGACCACCACCAGAATCACGCCCACATGGGCAGCCCGCCCCCGTACCACAATGACTACATTCAGACCCAAATCCACTGTGGGGGCTCACATTTAGCTCACATCCCCCACATGCCCCAAAGCCCTTCTGGTGCTGGACTCATCCCTGGTCCTCCTCCGCTTTCCTACTACAGTGCTTCATCTTTCCCCCAGATCCACCACGGGCTGCACCAGGGCCACCTGGGTCAGCTGTCCCCCCCACCAGAGACACAGGCTCACCTGGAGACTTTAGACCAGCTGAGCCAGACAGAGCTGCTGGGTGAGGTAGACCGCAATGAGTTTGACCAGTACCTGAACTCAACTGGGAACGGGTTTCACCCTGAGCAGAGCGGCAGCATGACCGTCACAGGACACATCCAGGTAGCGTCCACCGCTACAAATCCTTCATGTCCCAGCAGCACTGCAGAAACCAGCCTCATTTCAGTGCTGGCGGATGCTACAGCGGCCTATTACAACAATTATGGCATCTCATAAGCGAGGTCATGGCACCCATTAGACTTAAGACACTACAAAGTAGGTGAGGAAATGTTAGATGATGCCGCATATGGGAGTTTGTAAAGGAGAGATTCTGTGCTCTCATCTGTAATTTTAAATATCTATGTAGCATCTCTCACAGAAGTCTGCCTACTGCAATAACCACGACATCTCGTAAGCTGGGTCACAGCACCTTTTACACTGGGGACTCATCAGAGACACTACAGGGTGAAAACATTTTGAATGGGTTCTAGTAAGGAAAGATTTCTCTGCTCTCACCTGTAATTTCTAACTCAAATAAGCATCTCTAAACAACCTCATTCCTGGACTGATAACTGAGCAATATGATTGTCTGGAGCCGAGGGAAGAACAAAGAGGATGGTGAGGAAAGGGAGATGGACAACTCAGGGACAAAAAAACTCTAGTGTTCACCACCTCCAGTTGTAATGACATTTCTATATCAGAAGAACAATCGTGAAGGACTTGTTGTCCACTTGTAAATGTTTCTGTAGCCACTGCGGCAATGTACAGACGCTCTCTAGAAGCTAATTTAAGTCCCTTTGATGTTTCGCCTAAATGCTAACTGTAATGCTTTCTTGACGCTTTCCATTCAAATGTTTGTATTCTATGTTCTCACTCTCATTAGTTTGAGAGTTTTACCTCAGTAGTTGTAATTGGATGAGGTTTTAGTTGGACATTTCTTATGCAATTTAACAAAAATGGTGTATTATGATGAAAAAAAAGGCGTTTATATTTCCTCTCACCTACTTAATAATATATAATCATAACCTCTACGATGAAAAATAATAATGGTAACTATAACTGTATGCTGATCTAGGTTTGTGAAAGAATAATTTAAATAAAGTTCAATTTTTATATAAATAAAGTTGCCTATGGATTATATACTTTTATCATTTCATTATTAAAAAAAGCTGATCTGACACTTTTTAGTAGCAGGTTAACACACTATAAGACTAATATATAGCACATTATTAATGTAAGTAGATTCCTGAATAATAAAAGAAAATAAAAGACTCCTGCAATTAATTTTTTGTAACACAAATATTTTCACACAAATTATGTGGAAAATCTGGTGTAAGCAATTTGTCCATCGATCACCTCATTTTGTCTCATTTTGTATTCCGTATATTTCGCTCGGTGTAGTTGTTTTTAGAACAAGTGTCCTATTCTGACTCCCACTTCCCTTCTCGCTTTTTCCAACCCTCCATCTCCTCATGCCTTCGTTTCATCCCAGTTCAGAGGATTAGTGTAAAACAGGCACAGCCGTCGCCATCCGCCTCCATCTCAACCATCCTTTGTTTTCTTGGAGTCTTATTCTGGGTGCCATTCTTAGGCACTCTAGAACCCCCACCCTCCTCCACCCGGTCCCCCAACCCCCTCACCACCTATTCTATCTTGCTGATGCAGGCCTTTTTTGTAATCTGTGCAAAATAAATAAAAAAAATAAATCCCAGGGCCTCGTTCACTGTTTTACACCCTCTTCGTTTTTTCTCCGTTCCCCCCTCCCTCGCCTGTTCTCCTCTCACCCTCTGTGTTCTCTTGAATTTTTCTTTTTTCGATAAAAGGAATTCAGGGGGCTTTTGACAAATCCTGGAGTCTGGCTGGTCTTCCTGCATTTTTTGGGAACCGTTGAGTCGTGCTTCTTGTAAAGAGGATGTGGCGGAGAAGCGGTGTTTCCTGACTGATAAGGGAAAAGCCTCTCTCCGTCAGGATGTTTGGGCCTGGCTGGGCCCTGCATTAAAGAGCCAGAGAGAGGGAAGGGAACCCACTGTTCAGCAAGCGGGAGGAAACAATGCTGTGCTGATTAGCATCTTACTTGCCCATCTTTACTTACCCACATTTTCCAGGAGAGGCTTCGTCAACCTGGCCTGTGGTACCTCAGCCACGGAAACATTAAAATATCCATAAAACAAGCATGTTACAGAAAATCTAGAGAATAACTATTGTGTTGAACAAATGTCCCAATAATGAACTTTCTCTATACCCACACCTTTGCTTTTTTTTTTTTCAAGATTTATTTTTTTGGGGGGCTTTTTGTACCTTTATTGGAGAGATAGAACAGTGGATAGAGTCTGAAATAAGGGAGGGTGATTGGGGAATGACATACAGGAAAGGAGCCACAGGTCGGATTTAAACCTAGGCCACCCGCTTGGAGGACTACAGCCTCCGTACATAGCGGGCGCGCACTAACCACTGCACCACCAGCGCCCCCATACTTTCGCTTTTGACACATTTTTACTGTGAATGTGATTAAACTGAAAAGAAGGACAACATTCATCAGTGTTCCAGTTTTTTGCAGTCAGCCGGTCGTGTGTTTGTGTCTTCAGGGTTAAATCATTACCTTCTGTGCCTGCAGTGGTGGGGTCTGCAGAGGGCCCATTTGAGGGCAACCATATTTTGGACAGGGTTGTGCCCGAGGCATACGGGTTGAGAAAGTAGTCCTTGGTGCAGAATCAGTCCCGCAGTTGTCAGGGTCAGCTCAGGGTGCTGCTGCAGACACCCGGCAAATGTTTCAGCAATCACATCACCTCAGGGTAGGACACTGTGACACGCACAAGGACAAAGACCACAGAGGGCAGGTTTTCATGAAAAATGTTATTTCTTATTTCTAATGTCATATATGCAGTGATCTTTTTATAGTAGTTTACTTGCTATTTGCAGCAGGCCTATATCAGAAAAAAAATTTGATATGTTTTGACCTGAAAGCAAATGCAATCAAGATTAAATATTGTGTAAATGAGAAATTCCTCATGACATATACTGTATATTTCACCGTGACTATAAAGATCATAAATAATATTGATGCATTTTAGACTCAGTTATTCATGATACTTTTTGACCATCAAGTATTGTAGCTTAAAATGAAAAAGTGCTGAGTCTCAACTTTCTTTGACAACAGCACTAAAAAAATAAATGCGCAGCAGGAAAATACACAAAGACTTGGGGATCCTGTCACTTTAAATTTTTTTAGGAAGTAGCAAAACACTCAACTTTTTCTCAAACCTTTCCTAGAAGTTACCTCATCGTCATAGTAACCTTTAGTCTTAATGTTCTGCTGGAAACCAGAGGCAGCCATCACTGCTGTTTTAGCCGCAATAAATCAACAAAGGGAAAGGGAAAATAAAGTGTCAACACTGGTGTGACATTTTTGTTAGCAGCATTAACTTTGCACTCATTCACTCACATGAACTGCCCTCTTCTTACTCTCTTTTATCTGACTCGTCAGGTTATTCAAATACTTGCAGGATCTCAATATTTAGAATATGTGTAGCATAAGAATAAAAGCTGAACAAACAAGAGTCTCCACTTGTTATTTCTCTCTGATTGCTGATTGGCTCAGTTCCAGTCTCAGGTCAAGCCCGCGGAATGAGTCTGTCAGGTAGTCTGTTGTGTTTCCTATTTCCTTCTCTACCGTCATGTCACTTCCTTGAGCAAACAAACACCTCTTCAGTCTAACTGAACATCAACTGTCAAGGTAACTGCGCACGGCTCAGTGTGGTGGACCCCCGCGTGAAGCTTGCACAGCTGTGTAAAGTATTATCCATCTGCTGGGGCTGAGGTGAGCAGGGATCACTTTAAATATCGTGTCCTCCGGAGGCACGCAGGAGGCTGACTGTCTGGTTGGTCCAGCGTCCATTGTGTATCCAGCGAGGGAGCATCCAATCACATTAGGGCTATATGACGTTCTTTGTGTATTAACAGTAGGTCAAGAGGAAGTGGCTGATTTGAACTACGTGACTAAGGCGTATCGTTGTCTGAGAATGAGATGCCTTATAATCCCTGTAAGTGTAGATGTGTTATGACGTGTTTGAGCTGAGTTTTGAGTTGGCACTGCATGCGGAAAGTTTCAACAAAACTGGCATATCCCTTATGCAACTACAGTATATGCCGTCGCTTGCATATATCATTAAATTATTATAGTCACAGACTGCCATTTGTCCTCTGACTTATGGTGCAAAGCTCAAATGTTGTTAGGGCTGAGTTTGGTAACATTGTCATGTAACTCCTTCATGATAGATAAGCTAATGAATGGACAGTGGATGTTTAAAAAATAGCCACATCTCACCATATTTACAAACTCCTTAGCAACTGTCATACAGAAGCTAGGTAATATGAGAAGCTTGCTCTCATGTACACACCTTCCTCTGATATCATGTAACATGTCTGTATGGTAACGTTAGCATGTATGAATGCTGACACCAATGATGCTACTAAGTTTTCAAACTTGTTGGTATACATTGAAATATGGCCTGATATCCCTCCAGATTTTCAACATTTATGCTCCTTTTTTATTTGCCGATTAATTCAAAAGCAGTGAAATGATAAAGATCCTCATTGCCTTAGCTTCCTACCCTGAGTGTGATGTCGGATTAAAACGGCCGTCGTGTGAATACAGTCAATTATTTGCAATTGGATGACACAAAGTTATTATTCCAAGAGATTCTGCTGGAATAATTATGTCGTTCCTGTTAAGCCTTGCAAACGGGAAAACAACAAACCCATTACAACATCCTCATCACAGTAAACACAGTGAACTCTACACCAAATTAAACTCGTCTGTGCGATGGGTAAAGACACACTTCCATCAGTAAACACTAAATGTTGACAGAGTGCATTTCCAGTTGGAGTGTGTTACAGCAGAATAATAACCTGTTTACAATTTGTACTTGGCCCTAAATCTGGCCAAAGGAGGAAAAGAAGGAAGAAAAAAAAAAACAGACGCACACATCTCACAGCAAGGGATTATGGGTGCAGCTATTCTTCATCTCATTGTGGCTCAACAACAGGCAGAGTGTGGGGTGGCAGGCAGGCGTGTACATCGCCGGACGAAGAATGGACCAGACTCGTCGAGGGACAGGTGCCATGTGGCAGAGGATGTGCGGGGACACAGATGGGGACCCCTGGAAAACTTGGGGGACTGTACGAGCAGCCAAGGGCCTCCCACCCGTACCTGTGCTGTGAATGCTGCAGCTGAACAGGATCCGGCACCTGTTCTAAGCAGATACAGGCACAGAGGGAGGCCAGCACATGGCTGCCAACCACAGGAAAGGAGAAGGCTAGATTTCCATTTACCCATAAGCGCGGCCTGATTAGCAAATCGGCACAGGCTCTGCTGCAGAATGTGCGAAAAAGGATAGAGAAATGTGCTCTTCCAAAACTATGTGCATTTCAGTTAACTCTACACTTTAATATAAGCGTTCACATTAATGCTGCAACATGTTTGTAATGCTGCTGCTGTAAACATCCGTAATCTGTGTTGGAAACCATTTGGTTAGTTCTCCCTCCCCACATATGTATCTATCTTTATATTTATACATTTTCATTCTTTAATATTGAATATTACATGGTTATTCTTTCGTAAAAAGATATCGTTTTTATTTACTGTTGACCTTGAGTCTTTGAATTCAATTATAGTTTTATTATTTATTAGTGCTTTCTTTTTGACCAGGACCCAAATTTGATTATTAAATTAATATACTAGCATGTTCTATAATGACAATACATTTCCTTGAATGCTTTCCTTAAAAAAAAAAAAAGTAAGAATTTAAACCCACGATAGAAAAGGAAATGAAAGTCAAAACGTATAATGCACAGATTTATGATTTATAAATCATGATGCTGTGCATGTCCAATTTTCTCCGCCTGGCCTGCATTGGTCTCTCCCTCACTCTCTCCACGTACATTGGCTCTCACCGGTCTGTGTATGCTGCAGCGCTATCTGGCTTGTTTTTGACGCTGCAGATTCTCCCAGGGGTGGTGTAACTCTTCACCTCAATGTGAAGGAGCAGGAGGATGTTCCTATTGTGCTTCCTAATTGCAATGTGGTTGTTCCATTTAAGGGATAGAACATCCTTATCTGATCAG